TTTAGATGAGTGTTTCTGGTTTGGGGCATATGCTGTATTAACAGTAACACACTGGAGTGAAAAAAAGCAGAGTCAGGTGCTCTTGTTTATTAGAGTCAGTTTTAGCAGTTTGTATCACGTCTGCATTTATCATGCACAGCTGCAGAGGAGCCAGGATTCCCAGTTGACCAGGTGTTCTGTTGCCCTTCCATACTGCCAGTGTTCTTCAGTTGTACAAGGAACTGAAATAAGGAGATTTCAGCAGTTGAGCAAGGCCTTTGGCATTTAGACTTTTAATTCAAATCAGTGATGTGAGTGACCTGTGTATTTTTAGAATGAGTGTGAAGTTTGACTGCTCACATCAATTAATCCAAAGAAAAAACAGTGAAAAAAGAATAAAGCATTAGCAAAAAGAAGATGTAAAATCTCTCTACTGAAAATGGATGAAATTATTCAGTGGATAAAAAAAGTGTTTTTTGTTTTTTGTTAATATGTATCACAGAATCACAGAATTGCAGAGATTGGAAGAGACCTTAAGAGAACACTGAGTCCGACTTCTCTGCTATAGCAGGTGCCCTGCAATAGGTCACACGGGTAGGTGTCCAGACAGGTCTTGAATATCTCCATAGAAGGAGACTCCACAGTCTCTCTGGGGTGCCTGTTCCAGTGCTTCTTATGTTCAAATTTTAGGCTTTTTGTCCTATCACTACAAAGCACTGAGAAGAGCCTGGCCTCGTCCATTTTCCTCCCACCTCTCTTTAGATACTTACAAACATTAATCAGATGCCCTCTCAGTCTTCTTAGGCTAAACGGTCCCAGGTTCCTCAGCCTTTCCTCATACAGGAGATGCTCCAGGCCCTTTATCATCTCTGTGGCACTCTGCTGAATTCCTTCTAGGAGATCCCTGTCTTTTTGGAACCAAGTAGCCCAGAACTGGACACAGTATTTTAAGTGTGGCCTCATCAGGGCAGAGTAGAGGGGGAGGATCACTTCCCTCAACCTGCCATCCATGCTCTTTTTAGTGTGCTCTCTTTTTAATACTGTATATATGTATATATACACAGACATATGCTTAGTATCACTGCAACAGTTCCATTCACAGTGAAAACAGAGTTCTTGCTTTCTGCCTGTAAATAGTTAATTGCATAGACTTCTGTGCTTTTTCTTATTACTTATTGTCACCGCATGCTCACAAGATCCTTCTTCATTTCTAATCTTTAAGATGATATCTGTAGTCTCACGTTCATACTGGTGTTTAAGGGAAAATTTTAATACATCTTTAGTAGAAAACTAAAAACTACTGCCTTTCTGTTTCAGTGCGTAGCTCTCGGATGAATAAATTTTTGGCAAAACTCTTAGCTCTCCTTTCCAGTCAATGAACATATGCGTGGATGAGGAATTTTCTGAGTTACAAGCATAGAAAATGCTGACAGCTTGGCAGCAGCTTTGAGTTTTTCAATAAAATGATAACTGCTTTTTTTTTTTTTCTGTTCCAGGAAGCAAGTTGTAAAACACTCTTTGAATACTGTATCTAAAAATCCTAGGAGCTCTAACTTTCCTTTTGTTTAGTATAAAGTAGCTAATAAATGTGATAAAGGAATTATAAGCTCACAGGATGTGTTGTTAGTCTTATATCAAACTGGGTGGATTCTTATTAGACTCAAATCAATCAAAACTCAGAGATGGCATAGTTTGGGGAAGCTGAAAAAAAAAACAGTGCAAGCTCAGTGATATCTGTGTAAATAAAGAGGGGGATGTATTGTACTCAATGGAGGATATAAAGGGTGAAATAGATTTTCACCTGATGTGGGTACCTACTTAGAATCATCTGAGTTAAATGTTTTTTTTTTTGTTTTTTTTTTCTTTGCTGATTATAGAGAAAACTACCTTTGACCATTGTCCAAGTTTTAGATGACTTAACATTGATCAGATTGAATCTCATTATTTTTCTTCCAATGTTTTGGTTAAAAAAAGAAAAATTGATGAGATCTGGGGTGTGATCTTGTGCCAAGATTCTGGCGTCTGACAGTTTGGGAAAAGCTGTTTCATTCTACTGTTTATGTGAGGCTTGTAGTAGCACAGTAGTGGATTATTGGTGGTGTAATAATGAAATACTTAACTCTTATGTAATTCTGGTTTATATTTTTGGAGGTTGTTAGTTTGCATATTTATGAGTGTTAGATGTTTTGTTGTGAAGAATATGTAAGTCCTTACATTTAAGGTACACTAAAGTAACAAAATTCTTTTTTCTAGGAATGCGAAGTGTGTAGAATTTGCCTCAGCTGGCTACAATGCAATACTTTGCACGTAACACATAACTAGAGCGCATCTAGCATACACTATGCTCTTGAATTTCAATTCTGTTCAATAACAGCCCAGACCTGAAATATTTAATATCTGCTCTCAACAGAGATAGAAACGAACCTAGAAAAAGTACCATATGAAACCCTCTGATAAACTGTGTTGTGCTGCGAAGTTACAATTGCTTGAATTATTTCTGGATGTTCTATTTGCTTACTCTTACACAATTTTTCCACTATGTAATCTGCTATATTGGTAAAGTATTTTTGAAGTATATTCATTTTTAGCTCTTACAAAGTAATGCCAGGCTACAGTGTAAAATATTTATAGTTTTATGTCAGATGGTCTATCAAACTCAGGGAAAACAAAAAATAAAAAACAAATGAACCAAACATTTTTATGGCTTGCTTAACTCTGAAGTTGAGTGAAAACCAGAATGCTGACTCTGCTGACTCTTTTACATAGGTGCGTATATGTGTGTGTTTCGATAAGAAAGAGAACAAAAAGGCAGTTTTTATTAGGCTTTTTTAAAAGCATAGCTCTAATGTAGATGCCACTCTTTGTACTTAATGGAGATGATGAACTTTAAAGAAGATTTATGTCCTTTAATGAGTGTACTGCTTCATTTGATATGTATGAAGTATAATATGGTTTGTTCCATGCATAGATAATGTAATACTATTATGCTAGTTCTCTTTAATTAAAAAGATTGTTATTTTTCAGTGTATTCTTATGTAATGTAAGTATTTTCCGTGTGATCTGAACATATATAACAAAAATATTAGAACGTATGGACTAGAACGTGGTACTCAGTCTATTGTTCTTAACTACTTATCCAACAGGAGACAGAGATGAAAATGGGAGGTATCTATCAGAAAAAATTACTACTATCAGCAGAGCCACAGCTAAGTGTTTCATGTTCTTATGTGTAAACTCAGCTTAGACCAAACATCAAGCTGTGTTCTATATTAGTTTATCCTGACTTTATTGTTGTCAGCATTATCTGACTGAAACCTCCTGGTGGATGAAAGATTTTCTGAGTTGGTTTGTGGCCTGGAATAGCTCTGTGTTTTGAACTCTCTTTCTGGGCACTTTGTTATTAAAGTTCCTAGAAGGTGTCAGCGAAGAGCTGAGAATGCTCTTCTGGACTCTGTGCACAGCATAGATGCACACTGATGGAACAGGTTAGGCATATGTTCTTCTACTGCCATGCTGTACATTCGTTAAGTTTTTAATACATTTCAATACATCTCTTTCTTAGAATTAAACATTTACAAAGGTTAGTGTAAATAAGTAAATGTGATGTCTCATTTTAGGCAGCTATCTTTTCTTGGCTCTCGAAACACTGTATGGGTGGTTTGTGCTTGCTTTTTCTGGAGTTTCACAATTCATATTTGTCACAAATGTGAGAGACAACTGTGTTTTCCCTCAAATTCAGCATTATCCATTTCCCAAACCTCTTACCTCCCTACCTCTTTTATTTTCTTTTTAAATATAAAGGAGGGGAAAATATATCTGTAAAGCTTTCAAGTTCATTCATGCTTGGCAAGTTTCTCATAGGAGACAGGAGAACACTTTATGCTTCCGTATGCTTCTTGCACTCCTCAATAGCCATATGGACTGAATTATGATCCATTCCTTAATGTAATAAATAACATTGATAGTATATATGTTTTACTTGTGCATGCAAATCTGAATAGCACTGGCAATCTTTGCCAATTGGACTGGAAAGTATGAATGTATATATTCAGACTTAAGAAATTATATGTATTGAAAGGAATATAAAATCTAAACCACGTATACAAGACATGAGAATTCTAGCTATTTCTTCTATTTGTGACTGGACGTATCTGCTGATAAGATTTTCACTGCAAACCAGATTGACTTATATTAAATGATTTTTGGGAATAAAATCAACATGAATGACAAAAAAAAACCCCATGATTTTACTTTTTAAATGTTCGTATCTAAGGCAGACACTAGCCTATAATTATTACAGAACAAATTTTAAGGATAAGTAATAGAAGAGAAAACATGGGGTGCTTTTAATAATTGCATCTGTAACAATAGCCAATAGTTTTAATTTTTAAACCAAAACCTCTGTGAGGTCAAACAGTGACTGTGTTTATGTTAGTCTCTTAATTTGGATCTGGAATGAGCCTTGAAATGAGTTTCTGGATCATCTCAACCATTCTTGCTTTTGTTCATGTCACTGAGTGCTGTTGGAGTACCCAAGCTGTATTCCTTTTTAGATGAAACTAAATTGGAGAATGTGCCTCTGGAGTGCAATTTATGTGCTTCAGTGTCTAGTGTTCAGTCTGTCTACAGGACCAATTCAGGGACAGTTGAATTGACGTCTGAAGTGCATGTGTTGTGGATGAAGTGTCCTGCACTAATAGCTTAATGCTACAGATCTGCTCTTGTTTCACTGCAGTGTTTGCTAGGGCACACATTGCTACTATCGTATGAACAGAACAAATAAATTTTTGTCTGAGTCAAGCTGTGCTATACTTTGTTGTTTACTCCTGCAGCATAGGTTTCATAGGAGTTTCACATTCAGGAATTTACAAGTTTATCATTAAAGGTAAAATCAGTGTAGGAGGTTAGCACAGAAAGAACTTAATGAAATGTGATTCTAGATGTTGTGGCAGAAAATACTAAATCTAACCAGACTTGATTGGACTTTTTTTTTTTTCTTTCTTTTTTTTCTTTTTTTGCAGGAAAGGACAGTCACAATTAGAAGACAAACTGTAGGAGGATTTGGATTAAGTATAAAGGTAGGATGATTTTTTGGTATATTATTCCATATCACACAAGAAGGTCTTTGTATATAGTTAATTTTAGTTTTAATGAGGACAAACTATATTTCAGAGGACTAAGAACATTAGATAGAATATATTCTAAAAAGTTTGATGCTATCACAATAGGGTAGCCAGCAGCTACACCGCCCTATGGAACAGAAGGCAATGGAAAGATCATTCCATTAAGATTCAAACTAAACAGATCTGTAATATGATTTCATGTGAGAGTTGAACAGTATTTGCAACTGCACAGACTGTACTTTTGTTCAGTAGCACTCTAATTTAAGTGGTTGTTAATGTTAATTTACAGTGACAGGCACAGAGAAGAGCCAGTAAGTTCATAATCAATTCTCCTAGAAATAATACCATATTACTTCACTGTAATTCATTAGTTGGGCAGAAAGTGTTACCACTTTCTTATATTGTTTTCTGTAGATCAAGTAATTGCAGTAATTTATCATAATAGTTACCTTACTTTTGCTTTCCTCAGTAAGAGTTAAGAACATATGGAAGTGAAAGTGATCCTTTTTGAGGGACAGGGGGGTTAATCATTTTTGTCCTCATAAGCTCTATGTAAATCTATATTGCCATTATTTTGAAAACCTTACCTTAGCTTAGAATCTCATTGTGGAGATTCAACATTATTTTATCTTCTTAGCACAGCAGTCCTTAGCCTCAAGATGGCAATAGAAAAAAATCAAGTGTACTTCACATGAATGCAAAGAGCCTTAAATGATGCATATAAAGTTGAAGTACAGGCTTTTCTGTGAACAGCTGCTAGAACTGACCTTATAAAAACTGACTCAGAAGAGGGATTAATGTCCATTTGTGCTGTCATTGATAAGAATATTGCTGAATAGAAATACAAACTCTTAAAATATATCTTGGCACACTTCCTTTTATCTATTTGATCCACTAATGACCTCTTTTCAAGGAAAACTAATTGCTATTTTGTAGCCAAAATTTCTCATGAGTTTAGTCAACAGGGTGCAGTGTCCTTATAGGTTACAGTTCACTGAATAATTTTTCAGTAATGTGTGTCAGCTTACGATAAAGTATACAGGGGAATGAGGTTTTACTCGTTAGTAGTAAGAAATAGCTGCTAAGAGTAAATTTTGTTGTGGTTTGGAAAGCAAGTTTCATGAAGTTGAATAAAAGTGACTGAATTTTTTTTTTTTTTTTTTTTTTTTGTTATACTTTACAATAGGCTATCTTCTAAAATTAAAATTGTGAAAAGAAATCAAAATCACTTTGTGTTTAAGTATCAGGTAAATAGGAGAAACACAATCACTGGCAGATAGAAATTATAAAGTGCATGGGTGGATGGTCTGTCTTACAGTAGTGGTATTTTTTTAGAGCAAAATATCCACTGTTCTGAATAAATTCCTTGGAAGATGCAAAAGGATTTAGAAATGCCAGCGTGACTATGGATTTTTCAGATTATGAATTCAGCCTTGGAAGATATCTTTATGCATTCATGAAAGACCATATAAACTGAATAAGGTCCTATTTCTGCAAAATAATCTATATTAAAAGCTGCAACAGAATTTACGAATCATAGCATTAAATTATTAAACATAGCTTCTAGTTTTACTGCCAAGTTGTTTTGATCATAATTAATAAGGTAGTGGAGCTACATACATTCAGGCTTGAATAGATATTTTCTTTTCAACTTTTAGAATGACTAATGACCAGATGAAGATTGTTAGTTACTTTAACAGATATTGCTTCAACAGATCTCATCAAGTAGACAGATCTTTCTCAATAAAATGCATTCAAACTCAATCAGATAATATAGATTAGATAATGAAAACGGTGAGAATAATTCCGTGGTCTGCAATATTCTATAAGTGTGTTTGAAGCAAGATGATTCTGCTTGTTCTAAGAGTCAATGAACTCATTTCCTATCTTGCTAGACTCTTCTTTTTCTTTCTTTTTTTTTTTTTTTTTTTTTTTTGTAATCCCGTATTCTTAATAAATAAATAAATAAATAGATGAGCAATGGGATATTAAATTCTACCTAAAACAAAGTATGCTGCATAAGCTTATATTACCATATTTAACTTGTAGTAGGAAATAGAAATGGAACTTAAATGATGCTTTTTGTAGTTTTCTAGGCGAGCTGTGTGAATGCTCATTGACAATGACTTTTTGGGTATGCAGTATAAGTTCCAAAAAGTGTCAGCTTTCTCTTTTAAAAGGTACCAGTTAATCTTCTTGAAGATGAGTAATAGTTTGCTACTTTGTTTTGGTTTGTTTGGGAAAAATACTTTAAAAAACTCACATATATATATATATATATATGTGTATATATATATATATATATATCACAGGAAAAAAATTTTTTTTTGTGAAAATGACTTAAAGTAGGGATTTACAAGTTACCCTTAAGGAAAGGCTGCTATGAGAGCCAAACCTGCTTCATATGTTTCATGAAGTTTATCTCACAGTGTGTAAAGAATTCTTAACGTACCCTAGCTTTATCTTTTTAGGATCTAGGAGATATGATATAGATGTCTGAAAACAGAACCTGTAACTATTGAATTTGAGACCTAGGCAAAATGCTAGTGGTGGACAAAAAATAAGGAAATTCCACACCTTATCCTGACTGATCATTTTCCCGTGCCTGGCGTTTGTTCTCATTTTTGGCACTCACATGTACACGCTTATACAGAACTCATGACTCTGTATGTAAGTATAGTTGCTGAGATACCACATTTCATGTTCCCAAAGTCCCTATGCCTTCCAGAGAAGAGAAATACTGCCATAAGGATATAATGGGAGCCAAATTTCTGTATACGTCTGGAAACCAAAGCAGCTTAGTTTTGGATGGCCAACTAATTTTGGTTTTTTTCCCTGTTTTTGTGCCTGTGAACCAGCTCCTGTACTTCTGTTGTTTCTTCTTTTATGAAAAAAACATCACTGATCACTTTGTTTTAAGACTTGGTCCCGAGTGCTGCAGTGCTTCGCTTTCTGCAGTGGATGTGAAGTGAGCAGCTGTAGCTGATCAGCCATCATAAATTAACCATCCGTGCTTGTTAGGCAGCTTGCTGAACCTTTGTGTCTGTGTTAGGGCTTTTGGAAAGGTGCTTAAACCAACGAGCCATGCAGGCGAGGTGGGATAACTCACCTGATCTCCATTACTCAGCTGCCACTTCTTGATGCCAACAACTTATGCCTTAAGCACGATTCTTATTTGAGTCACTGCATGTTTTAGAGACTCAGTCTGGATTTAAAAGTTTTGAATAAATGTGAATGTAATGCATCCCCTGCTATTGCTATAAATGGGGCAGAGAACAGTAGCAAACCCTTTCTAACTCAGCAGCAGTGTAGATTATGTGACAAAGTCTTAGGGCTTTTGTGTTTGTTTTGGTAAATTTGTCTCCCATAACTTCCTGTATTACAGCAGTTCTGTGTCTTAAGTTACTTAAGGATGAGTTTTATCTGAACTCTTTCTTTCTGTCTTATCTGAGATGTGAGTTATAAGTGTACAGTGATTAATGCCTCTCACTTGAAAGTATTTGCTTTGAGATGAGTTTATCTAGTTTTAGCATTCAGCTGCAGAGTATTATCATCTGTTTTTTCCTGTTAATTTGGTCGTCTGTTTGCTACCAGAAATCTTACATGAACAAGTCACTTTCTCTTAAATGTCTTACCCTACCTTAAATATTCTTGGTTTTCTTCAATTGATTGCTTTCTTTCTCTCTCTCTACATCCCTACCCCCCTCCTTTTTTTTTTTTTTTTTCCCCTTTTCTTTCTTAAGAGCAGACAGATAAGAAGTTAGTAAGTTCAAAATGAAACTCCCCTGTAGTTTTTTGGTGATTTCTTTGTGGGGAGAAAACTCTTTTGTGTTCTTAGATGCTTCAACTAAGTTGTAAAAATCAGATTCATCTTAAAAAACTGCTTACAAAATTGATTTTCACACAAGATCTGAAACTAAGCCCTTTTAAAAATTGATTACAATCCACTCTTTGTAGGTTTGATAGCAGAAATACTGTGTTCTGCTGTACTTCATTTTACTGAAGTTAATGGCAAAAGTTTAATTAAATTTGGAGCAAACCTGATCTGTCCACACTGCTCAGAAGGAATTATTTTCTCATTTCTGAAGCCCCTTTAAAACCCTCATTAATAAACCTCTGTGAGAAGAAACAGTCGTGGAGTAAGATTTAGAAATTGATGACTGCAGTGTAGTATTTCAGTCATTCATCACATCTCTGACATGTTTGAGATGCGGAGATTTGACACAAGAAGCGGCAAAGTGTATGACTTATGAAAGAACATCATGTTTCTTAATAATTGTAGAGTGTAGTGTTCTTGGGGAAATAGTCAGTAGAAGTAATAGTTCATTAAATTAATTAAAGTTTGCAGTTGCAGGCTGACTTCTAGATACCAGAACTCTGAACTGAGCCATTTTCATGCTTCTCTTTTGATCATTCTTTATACGATGAATTTTATCACAGATTTACAGATTTTCTAAGATTGTTTGACTTCTGAACGTGTGTCTACATAACGTATCTATAAAGGTACTGTTCTGAATATCCTTTGAATATATTCAGATAATTTTCTTCATATCCATTCATTCTGTGGTAATCTTTGTTATGAGAACATTTTCTCTGCATTTCAAGTGGAAACAATAGAAGTTAGAAATTATTGTTTAATGTTGGAAATATGCAAATAATTTTTTTCAGGATGGTATCTCTGACAAAAGCAGATTTTATTCGCAATTGCAATTATGGAGCAGGAGCACCCTTAAGGACACAATGATGGCTTTTTGTACCTTGTTTCCCCCTTTGCCTATGCTTCTTCCCTATTTCCCCATTGGCTGGGTACTCCAGGTTCACAATCTTGTCAAAGTTTACATTTGTTAATTGGTGTGTTATCTGGTGTCAGCCAGTAGCCATCCTGTTGTTTCCAAGTTGTCTCAGTGCTCTTCTTGTCATATTGATATGGTGATTTTCTTCAAAGTCTTCATTAGACAAAGAGCACCGTGGGGTGGGGTGATGCCAGGCCTTCCCAATGTCTCTTCAGGCACTTCCTTGTGCATGCCATGACTTGTTCTCTGGTTTGATCAATCTCGTGCAGGATATTCTCGCAATGTGTATGACAAAATATATATACTGCGCGTGCATTCCTAGGGAAGGTTCATCTAGAGGATAAGTAATGCAAACTATCAGAGACCACCTCCCCTCTCCCCCCCCAGGTAAAGTAGAAAGACTCCCAAAAAGAACTATGACAGTGGAGACCATGAAATAAAAAAAATATTACCCAATTCTAATGCAGAAACAACATTTGATTACCACATTTAATAGGTGAAGTATCTAGCTTTTAGTTTACTAATCTATCCAGGTAAACTATTATATCAGACAGTGAAGTTGCAAAAGGATAATTAACACTAGCATGTTGTTGTCCATATTGTTTAATTGTTAGCATGTTACCTGCCATGATATTGGCTTATGCCAACTGGCATTTTGAGATAAGACTGTTCATGATCACAGATGAGAACAAAATGCATCACGTCATTCTATTTCAGTCTTGAAGAGTTTGTCCACATGGACATGAGCCATACTGTTAAGACAAAAGCAAAAAGGGCAAGAGAAGTGATTGTCTCTCTCTGCTTTGTGCTGGTGCAGCGTTAGCTGATCTACCACGTGTAGTTTTGGGCCCTCAAATGCCAGTGATTAAAGCTTCCTTTATTTATTTTAATAGGACCATCTCTGGAGCTGGGCAGCCAGCTTTATTCCAGGCTAATAGTTGCACAACTTTTCTGCTTGAGGGACAGTGGCAAAGAAAATTTCAGTTACAAAGAGCAGTGGTAGAATCTGAAGACTGAGTCATTAAGCCTTCAGTAATGTTAACTGACATGTATTTGTCCCGTCCACTGGTCTGGGATTGTAGGTGGAGAATAGATTGATAGAGTTTAATTTAAGAGTTGAAAAGTAGCCATTGTTTCCAGAGCTTTCAGAAGCAGTGTATCTCTTGAGTCTGTAAAGCCAGAATTCATGCACTTTTACAGAGAATCAGACATGTAGGAGTTAACGAGTCCTAAGACTAATTCAAAAGGGATCGTTTGTAATGACTGGGTGTGGTTGCAGAAAGGGGGTCATTTTTTTTCAGAAGTATTAAGAGATGCTTCTTCAAAACTGCAGTGAAATGGAGTTAGATGTAGAAAGTGAGAGGACAAGGTGGTGCTCATTACTGTTTGGTTTAGGAATAACAGGAATTCCCCTCTTTACTGGAGAGCTGAGTTGAATCAGGGAGAGCACAGTTTACGGAGAGAAAAAGACCTTAGTTATGTTGAACTTTAATCACTGAACTCCTTGGCTGAACTTCAAATATCTTGCATAGTGCAATATTTTTGTAGTATGTTGAAGGCTTAGAGAGGGTACTGATATTTGTTTATTTGAAAAAATATAGAAGAAATCAAATGTGCATATACCTGAGAAAAACTCTTAAAGTCTTATTAATTTAGTGATCTGGAACTGGTTATCTAAAATGAAGCCATTGTTTGCGACTGCTGTTTCTATGGTGAAAACCATCAAAATATATTTAACAAGTTACAATGCTGCAAACTGTTTCGTTTCAATATGTGTGTAAACCTGACTGAAATGAAAGTAACATCATGGTATTCGTGGAGACCATGACCATCTGGGACATGTGCAGTGGCAGATATGAAAGGCTCTTTCTTTGTATAGATAGAATTTAAATACTTTACGAGACTGCCCATAGAGAAGGGATACACAGAAGCATGTTTTCTATGGTTTTCTTTTCCTCTATTCCATAACAGATAAAGCTGTTGAGTGCAGCTCTCTGTTCAGTTTCAAACAATTGGTTCCTGCATGAAGAAGGGATCTGTACTAATCCTTAGAACATCAAAATATCCAGGTCAGACCACTCAGTTCGTTGACACAGAGTGCCTGGACCTAAGGAGTCAGTAGTTTTCAAACAAAAGAAAAAATAAGTAAACATTGAACCAGGATTCTTAGGCAAAATGACAGTGTGGCATATTGTCATTTCTGATTATCTGAGTTTGTATAGGTTATGTTCAGGCTGGCACTTTGGTGCTGACTTCAGAGGAAGAAACATATTTGTGATTCTGTTACATACTTGTCTTTTTCTTTCTTTGAGAGTGCTTTTCATTTAAGGTTTCTTTTTAATACCTTAAGCACCATAAACGTTTCCAGCTTCACTAGGATAAATTGAATGAAACAACAGCATTGAATTGCTTTCAACCTGTTGAATTATCATTCAACTTTCCTTTATTTTTCCCGCATTTATTGAACACCTACTGTTCCATTTAATGTCTTCTTTTTCTGTTCCTTGTTACTTACCCCACTGCTTTGCTCACTCTTTGTTCGTGTGTGACAGAGATGGAAACAAATAAAGGCTGCTTTTGAGATGAAAGTCCAAACTTGCTTTTCTTGGGTTTTTGTTTACATGTTTCTTACCAGCATGAAAACTGAGTGTTCGCAGCATGGTTGCTATTGTGGTGTGATGGCCATTCTGCCTTTGTAGGACACAGTTTCATACATTAAACTGTCCAAAAATTGTAGAAATGGATGTTCTTCAAGTCTTGTTCACTTCCTTGGCTAATTATGGAACCTGGGAGCTTCTTCATGAGAGGCAGTAAGAAGTAAGGAATTAATCCAAATCAATTCTATATTAGAATTAGGCATAGACAAAAAGAAGAAAATTTGGATTCAGAATTATTTTCTCAGTCTCTTTGAAACCAAGTTACAGAAAGGGTAAAATATAATTTCAAACAAAAAGATATCTACAGTGACTCATGAGATTACTGTTTATTTTATTTTCAGGGTGGAGCAGAACATAATATTCCAGTGGTCATTTCTAAGATTTCCAAAGAACAACGAGGTGAGTGTCAGATTAGTACACTATGTCTTGACATGCTCTTTATAGCAGGGTGTTCTAAATCTTATTCTCTATAAATATACAAAACTGATATTTGGAGAAGTTTCTAAACATTGTCTTCAAACGATCTTTTAAATGTTCCTGTAAAGCATAATTTTTAAGGGAAAAAAAATAGGCATGAAAATATTTAGTAACTTTAAGCAGTGCAAAAATAATACTTCTGTCTTTTATTTCTGAATGCTTATTGCCAGAAAGAAGTAGCATATTGAAAGTTTGATCATTAAAATATGTGAATGCAAGAGGAGAAGCATGTCTTTTTATACTGGATAGTAGGATAGTACTCAGGTGGGTAGTGGCAGAATCTTGATAATACCCTTTGCTATTTCAACTAGAATCATTGAATCACAGAATGGCCTGGGTTGAAAAGGACCACAATGATCATCTAGTTTCAACCCCCCTTCTATGTCAATGGTCACCAAACACTAGACCAGGCTTCCCAGAGCTACATCCAGCCTGGCCTTGAATGCCTTCAGGCACATGGCACCCTCAAACTCTCTGGGCAACCTGTTCCAGTGTGTCACCACCCTTGGAGCGAAAAACTTCCTCCTAATATCTAACCTAAACCTCCCATCTCAGTTTAAAACCATTCCCCTTTGTCCTATCACTGTCCATCCTTGTAAACAGCCATTCCCCTTCTTGTTTATATGCTCCCTTCAAGTACTGGAAGGCCATAATGATGTCTCCCCAGAGCTTTCTCTTCTCCAAGCTAAACAAGCCCAGATCACTCAATCTTTTCTCATAGGAGAGGTGCTCCAACCCTCTGATCACCTTAGTGGCCCTCCTCTGGACCCATTCGAAGAGCTCCATATTTTTCTTGTACTGGCAGCCTCAGGCCTGGGCACAGTAGTCCAGATGGGGCTTTGCAAGAGCCGAGTAGAGGGGGACAATCACCTCCTCTCCCTGCTGGCCACCCCTTTTTAATGCAACCTAGGATATAGTTTGCCTTCCAGGCTGCAAGCACACACTGCTGTCTCATTTCCAGCTTTTCGTCCACCAGGACCCCCCAAGTCCTTCTCCGCAGGGCTGCTCTTAAGGAGTTCTTACACCTGGGATTGCCCTGGCCCAAGTACAGCACTTTGCACTTGGCCTTGTTGAACCTCATTAGGTTCACATGGGCCCATTTCTCCAGTCTGTCTAGGTCCTTCTGGATGGCTTCCTTTCCCTCCGATATATTGACCACACCAGTCAGTTTGGTGTCATCTGCAGACTTGCTCAATTCCATTGTCTGTGTCACTGATGAAGGTGTTGGAGAGCACTGGTCCCAAGGCTGAACCCTGAGGGACGCTACTTGCGATTGGCCTCCACTCAGACATAGAACCGTTGATCACAACCCTTTGACTGCGACCAGCTAACCAGTTCTTAATCCATCTAATAGTCCATCTTTTGAATCCATACCACTCCAATTTAGAGAGAAAAACATTTAGTGCTGCGGTCAGTAAACTTTTGCAGCAACTGATATTTAGCAAAATCAGTAGTGTATGAAGGCTTTAATCATGCATATTTTTAACTGCCAATGTTTTGAAGTTGTGGGAATTATATAGCATGTGCTATGAAGACAGGTTCTTGTTAGATGACTCGTGATGCACTCGATGAAGGATCAAGGTTGTGAATAAGTACTTCTAGGGTGTATTTATGATCTTTGTTATGTTTATGTGTATTTGTGTATATAAGCATAAGCAAACTTGGAAGCATTTTCCTCCATCTGCTTACAGTAATTTTGGAATGCTGCTTCTGCACAACTAAAAAGCTCATCTAGAGAAAAAAGCTCATATTCATCCACACACTGTAGATAAAGAAATGTACAGGGGAATCTTAAAATACTGAGATCTGAAATCTGACCCTGAAATGTAGGTGATGGTCGTGTGTAGAGATGCTGCAGTGTAGCAGACAATGAGCCCCTAAGGAAAACTAAAAGGTTAGCCTTAAGAAGTGACTCCATTATTTTCAGTATAAACATAAGTGTGTAATACATAATAATGTGGCATATATTGCCTACACAAGCTATTAAAAAGCTATTAAGCACTGCAGGAAAAATAGGAAACATAGACAAAGTTTAATTGAGCACACCAAAGTGCATGCTGTTTCCTTTTGTTATTATTTTTTTGTTTGTTTGTTTTGTTTTGTTAGAGTGATGCATTATTTCTAACTTCAGTACATACTTGAAGTATAAACTCTATTACTGCTTTCAATAATAGTGTTTAGAGAGCTAGTTGCAAGGGACGTCTCTTCTGTAGAACAAGGCTATGCAAGTGTCATCTCTGCTTAGTATCTTGGAAAATGCTGTTTAACCTAGAACGTGTACCTCAGAACGTTGGAGGCTTAGTTCTGCCCTTTTACCAATTGGATTCTGGTTCATTTTTTAGGCTTCTAAACAAGAATGTGATAGTTCATGCAATTCATACCAACCGTGTTGTATGTAGGTAATTAAGTCATATGTAATTTGATAATAACATGTAAGCCCCATGTCTGAAGAGGAATATTGAGATACACATTTCTTAAACATAAAATATATTAAAAATCCTCTCATAATTCAAGAATCCATTGTTGTATCTTGCCTAACAAGGCCAGACCTTCAAATATATTATCATAATTTATGTGAATATTATTGCCAGTCTCTCATGTAAAGAAGTAAAAATTAGTTGGACCAAGTCAAGTTTCAGATCTTTCTAAACAGCATCTTCTGTGATGTTTCAAAATGCTATAGACAAATAATTCCATGTATTCTGTAAGTATTCCTTAGTTTTCATGTTAGAGATTATATATTTTTATAGACACTTATCCTTTATTATATTAATTTTGTGTTTATGAAGTGCATTTGATAGCTCTGTAATATCACTCAATGTTAATTTTTGAATCAGTTTTGGTTAATTCCCTTATGACTTGGAGGGTATCTATTTTAAAAATCAAGTCCAGTATTTATGATGATTTTGTACAACACCCTGATTGTTTAGCTCTTGAACAGAGAAGGTGTTATCCAGCATAAATACACCACTATTAATCAAAACACACCATTAATCAAAAACATAGGATCTACAGATTCTTTGATAAAATCTTACAAGTTAAAGGTTGTCTTTCATAAGTAGCTCTAAAGTTCTTTTCCCTCAGAGCTTCTAAGAAATCATGTCTCACAGGTAAATAGGACCTAGTTCTGTAGTCATTCTGTTTTCAGAAAAGCCTGCCATACTTCACCATTATGGCCCAAAAGATGCTATACATTGATGGAAGATGTTCTGGAGTTCTGTTACTTCAGATGAAAGAACTCTTTCACTGAAACAATGAAAGCTGGTGTTTTAGGATTAATAAGATTCCAAATATCTACTTAGAAGCTACGTATTTTTTTGTTTGTTTGTTTTTGCCTGTTTTTTTTGTTTGTTTGTTTGGTTTTTTTTTTGCTTATTTTTTAAAAAAGATTATGTAAAAGCATAAATGAAATATAAATGTAAGTACAAGAAATATAGGATATTTTGTGCAAATTGAGTGAAAAATATGCTTTCTATTTTCAGCTGAACTTTCAGGTTTGCTCTTTATAGGAGATGCAATTCTGCAGGTGAGTGAACTTGGAAGTACTTTTATGTATAATTTTCTAGAAAAGTGAAATAAAATCTATACTTATGAAATGTAGAGTAAGTCTTCTCTTTATCTTTTTAATAACAGATTAATGGAATTAATGTGAGAAAATGCAGGCATGAAGAAGTGGTGAGCTTTTCTGTTTTTCAGTCTACATTTTGTCTATTATAGTTATTGAAATGATAGCAGTACACTGGTGTCAGTTGTATTATTGTTATTCCTAAAAAAAAAAAATAGACTGTACCTTCTTGTTTAGAAAATCTTTGATCTTCTTTGTAGACTTGTTATAATTACTGTTCTCAGATTGTTTACTAAAGGTGGTTATTTTATTATGAGGATTTTAGCTGTATGTTTTCCTAACCATTCTTCTTCTGGCTTATAGCTATCAAATTTAAGTACTGCTAAACCTTTCTGGTTCTGCGAGGTCATTTTAATTTCAAAAGTCATAATTTGAACTATGTTGGGATTTATTTGTTGTTTTAAAACCTATTTAAAATCAAAACAAAGCATTAGTCTGGCTTCCATTCTCTGGCTTTAATTTATGAGGATGCTCTCCTTGTTCATAAGAGTAGAAATGAACAGAGTATTAAGGAGATTCCTCATAGAGGAGGCATGTGTGCTTGAGATGTAAAAATATTATATGTGTTATATTTGGCTGTTTGATTGTCCTTAAGGATTTTCAGAAGTAGGAAACACTAAGCTTGAGAAAAAATGCCATGAATGGAAGATTACCAAAGCTTGCTAAAGAAATTATCCTTTATTCCTGTTTAGGTTTATAGCAACTATAATTGTACAGCTCATTTTATCAATTCATAAATGCTCTGCATTTAATACTGTATTCTGCATTATGACAGATTGATAAATGTATGCCATTCAGGTATAGAAAGCACGGGTTGATGAAATTCTGACAAACAAATAAGTGCAGGCTGAAAGACAAAATGAGTGCACTCTTCCACCTCTCAGAATGCATTTATGCAGTGGTTTTGTGCTGGAAATTTGTGTTGCAAATCAGTCATCATTCCTTAGAACTGTCAACTGCTTATTGGCTGGTTCGGCCCAGTTCCGTGACTAGTGGAGCGGAGGGTTTTCACACAATCCGTGCCGTCAGAAAAGGGAGACAGGGGACCCCAAAATAATTAAAAACAGTGGCAGTGATCTGAGGAGAAACAAACTAATTTACTAAATGTGGTATCAGAATGCAAGGTAACATGCTATAATACAATATAATTAGAAATGAAGCTATTAAATCAAATATAATGAGAGTGTCCGAAAGGTTGGAAAGGCCTCACCGTAACACTGAGGTGAGATGCGCAGTTCAGTTGAGCAGCAGGGAAGAGAGCCTGGTGAAGAAGAGGACATCAGGTGACTTTGCTAGGGTTGTATCTCCTCCCTGACCGCAAGGGCCCCTGGAGTATGTAGTTCTTCTCTTCTGGACAGGTGCCCAGAACTGGAGCATTAACAGTTTAACTCCCAATACACTACATGGTGTTATGATATGAAATACTGACAACCAAAAATCATAAAACCATGACAAGAAACCTTAATCCATCCTCTGTATAAACAGAATAACATTCATGTTTGCCTTAGTTTTAAGTTTTGGCTGTGCGGTAGTGGCCAGATTTTAATCTTTTATGGGATTACCATAGTTTTGTTTTAATGCATTAATATGGTAAATATCTCAATGGGATTTCAATGTGATGTTGAAATTTCAAGACATGAGAAAAAGATGTTAATAAAAGTGCAGACCTGCACATAAAAAAGCAAATTAAAACTGGTAAGTTTATTCAAATCTGCCCAAAAGGACAGATTCGCATAGAGTAGCCAATATCATTTTACTTCATACCTTTTTAGTCCCACGTAATGTTCTTCTCAAACTCCTTATAAATAATGTTATTTAAATAAGAATAATAACAAAACAAAGGTGTTAGCTTACTAGCTATGAATGTGCCATTGTGTATATACAAGTACTTGTACAAATAATAGTACTTGGACAAATAATTTCTAAGAATGAAGAATCAATATTGGCCAATATTTAAGTAGTCTATGTAACATTTTTTGAACTAAGATCTGCAGAGGAAGAGATGTAAAACAAACATAAATGCCATATTTTGATTTTTTTTTTTTCTAGAAACATTGAATTTAGTATGATCATAGCATCACAGAATCACAATGGTTAGAAAAGACCTCAAATATCATCCACTCCAACTGTCCACCAATCATCAGTATTTCCCACTAAACCATGTCCCTCAGTACAACATCTCAATGTTTCTTGAACATCTCCAGGGATGGTGACCACCACCTCCCTGGGCAGTTTGTTTCAGTGACTGACCACTCTCTCGCAGAAGAAATATTTCCTAATGTCCAACATGAATCTCCCCTGGCACAACTTGAGACCATTCTCTCTAATCCTATTGCTAACAGACCCCCACCAGGATGTCCACCTTATTAACCCTCCCCCTGACCGTTATCCACAGAGACTCATTCCCAGCACCAAGCTCAACAACATCAAAGCACTCTCTAACACAGAGAGCCACACGACCTCTCCTTCTTCCTTGTCTGTCCCTTCTGAAGAGCTTATCACCATCCACTGCAGCACTTCAGTTGTGGGAGCAATCCTACCTTGTTTCTGTAATGGCAACTAAGTCATTGTTTGCCTGCTGCACAGTGATGTACATGTATGTGTAGTGAATTTGCTGAAAGTCTGATTATAATAAGTACTGGTTTATTAATGATAGATCAGGTAGTTCATTGTACATTTATGTAGGATTTTAGGCACAGACCTGACTAAGGAGCAGATACAGAAACTACTTTGCCAGCAGGAGTTATAGGTAGATTTTGTCTGCAACATGTTCCATGAAGCTGTTATAGCACTCCTATGCTAATATTTATCAAATATGGGATCCATAGTTCTAATGTCAAAGTAACAGAGAGAATGCAAAGTATGTAGAACATAGTTGCTCTCAGGATGGATTAGAACTGCAATGAATACTTCATGTCCAATCCTTACCACATCTAGGTACTTTTGAAATGGCTGTGCACGGTCCATAATGTTAGAGTTTTGTTTCGTTCTGATCATAATTCCTTTTTTTCTGAATCTAGTTAAGACTTAGCAGGTATCATATGATGAGAGAATATATTAACATTTTGAGTTGCCCTGATATCTTAGAAAATATTTACTGTGAAGCAGTAGGAAAGATTTTCCAGTGTGTAAAGCTGAAGCTTCCCATAGGAAATTCAAACGCGTATACATTATCTGCACTTGGAATGCAATGTGTGTTCATTCTTTTTCTTTTCTAGATAGAACGGTTATTGCTGTTTGCAAAAACATTCTAAGCAAATGTCCTATCCTCATAACTCAGTAATGAAAAATTCTGCATAATGATCAATGCAGCCTGTAATATTACACTGATTACTAATCAGCTAACCATGGTGTTTCACTATACTGTTTTTACTCTGCCACACAAATCAAACTATATTTTCATTTGAATTTCAAAAATAAGTCGTTTTATCAAATTAGTACAGTCTTTCATAGTAGGGAGAATCTTTCTCTGATGTGCAACAAACTTAGTTGACTTAACCTTTGTGGGCACCTATGGTATCCTTTGTTGTCTTCCATTAGTTACTAAGTCTGTTAATAAAGCATCCAGTGGAGCACAGATCGTGTTATTCCAAAAGTACATTACAATCTGAAGCCTGAATATGAAAAATCAATAGGTAGATAAGACTTATAAGACTGAATATGTAGGCTTACTTGTTTTTTGGTTTAACTTACAGGAGATGTCTGCCCACTTCCCATTGGAATTTTCTTAGCTTTAGGTGAATTTTGAGCTTAGTTTTTCATTTGTAGAAGGTGAGGATATTATTCATTATCATGAAAGGATATTATGAGTTTCTATCAAAGACTGAATGTCAATTTGTTGTTCTACTGGGGTTGTAAAGAATCCCATCTAAACACAGCAGAGCATTCCTTCACTCTTAGTACTCTCCTATGGTAAAATAAATATGTTCTGTCTGGTAAAATATCAGCATTGGAGGAGGTTGGAAAAAAAAGTTAAAAAATCATCTCTCAACATCATAGAAATAATTTGTCTCTAGAAGCGCAGTCTCAAGTTGAATTTGGAAGTAGGGGATGTCTTGTTATATTTCTTAATTTAGATGAGTTGGAACTCTTTCTACTCTGGATATTTTTTTTAATTTTTTTATTTTTGCCATCTTTTTTTCTCTCTTTAGCATTTTGCAAGACTTTTTATAATCTGAAATCAGGAATAGCATGCATAGACAGGCATACACATTTAGGCTTCTGCCTGAGGAATTCGGTGCAACAGTGCATAAATCCAGTCACCAGCAACGTCAATCCAAATAGTAAACACCTAGTCTTTTAAGTGCTCATAACAAAAATTGTTTCTCACCAAGTAAGTTACTTGAAAAGCGAGGTTATTGTCCAGGGAGAAGCTGATATTGGTAGATATAGAATCTGTGTAGGTATTTAAACTTTGGTGTTTTTTTTGATACAGCGAGGTATTCTGTGTAGCACCATATTACAAGTCAAATGTCAGCTACATTTTGAACAAGGCATCTTTTCTGTGAGTTTGACAAGAAATGAGATGCCCATGTGCATTGCATTGTAGCTTTCACCCTTTTCCCTGTATTCTAGCAGAATTTCAATTATGATATATATTTCGTAAAGCCGATGGCATAGAAGCTGTAGTTACTTAACTGGAATTATGTGCAGGAATTATATGCAGTTGACAAATCTTTTTTTTTTTTTTTTTTTTTTTGATCAGTTTTCATCCAAGCTGATTTTTTAAACTTATGATGAATATCTTCAGTAATTTTTTTCATGTTTTAAACAGAATAATAATCATATTGCATTTATAAGGCAAGAGATAAAACCGAATAGATATTTAGACGTTGAAGCTGCATAGTCAGCACTTGTAAGAGGAGAGCTTGATCATTCCTCAATAGTTTTCTTCATATGAAGAGGCCAAGATGTTAGTTATTCCATACTGCCATTCTGTTCGAGACCTGTGGTTGTAAGAAAAGTGTTAACCTCACCTCTTTTACCATGGTATAATTAATGAAAATATCTGTAACAACGTATTTATAATTTCCTTATTGTTCATGAAACT